TTAACACTTTAGGTCCCTAACATTAAATTAGGTATTTTAGGTAGTAATAAATGGGCGTTAAATAAACAGAATTTTTAAATTCGGAGAAATATATAAATTTCGCTGCAATGCCTGAAGTAGATATAAAAAGGCAAAAAACCTAAGATCCGAAGCCTATGTATTAAGAACTTAGAATGTTGGTGCAAGTGTTGGCACTTTTTTTCAATCACTGGAACTTTATGTAAACTCCCCTTGTAACACTATAGTTGCTTTTGTATATCTTGCCAATTGGTGTTTGAATATCCCACAGATGTCATCGACATAAATTGGATGCAGTTAGATGCACATTGTTGAAATAAGGTTGGCAAACACAAGCACTATTAGTTTTCTGTGCAATGCCCGCAGCTCTGTTTGCAATTCTGAGGATAAAAGAGACCCATAACATGAAAGGAATATTGACAAATAAACTTTTACAAGCGGCAAGTATTACTACTGCGCTTTTAATGGTAAAGCCAATTGATTTTTAGTACACTGTAAAAAACTGCATGCGAATTGAGATGTCATTCGTTTAGCTGAACTTAACGTGTTGAGTGGCGCTTCATTGTTGGAGTTCCACTTGTCACGTGACATTTCAGTAATTATATTCACTCAGGAAATGGTGTCCAGCTTCTTACCCCAAGTTAAAAGTACGAAGAATTTTATAAAAATCGTTTCCTACAATTCGTATAACGCTGTTTGTTTCAATTTTCTCTCCAAACGAGCGCTTATTTGAACGGATTGCAAGTGCAGCTACTTTTTTCAATTTACAAACTGCTTCATTTTGATTAAAGTTGTACTAAGAGCCTCAACGTCAACTCAAAGTGGAAAGAAATAGCGAAATTAGCCCCGACGGAATGACTTCTCCGAATCACGAGTATTGTGTTAATTCGCCATATTTAACATCAGCCGAGGCTTTCCATCCACGAAACAACTTATTAAACGCGCCACCCCCGGTATTGACCTCCCTCCTCGTTTTTCGAACTAGCATTTGCCCCGAAACCTCTGAAACGCAGGAAGCTATAAAAACTTCCAATTTCGAACATTTCCAATTGCTTCAAACTCCATTTGCCATTCAGAATCTAATTCATAACTCACAAGACCGTGTACTCTCAAACAAGAAAGTACTAAAAAATGACGAATAGGGTGGGTCCAAGAACGGAACCCTTGCCGAGTATCCATAATAAATGCGGAAAAGATGAGGCCATTTGTGAAACCGTTTCGGCGTTCCTGTACGTTATTAAGCGATCACATGCAATACGTCGGTTCAATGTTCTCTTGGAGATACCGAAAATAAATTCTCTCCCCTACAAATTCGGGCACTAAGTTTGGAAACCCTGAATGGGATGATACACGACGTCGTTGCAAATTAACGACGTTCTTGCATGGTTAAAAGCTGAATTTTGTGCAGAGAGCCGTAAAACTTTAATTAAAACTGCCACACAAACTGTAGATTTAGTGCCTTCGGAGACAACTCTTCACCTGCTATTCTTCTAGACGACACATTTTTGCGGCTGGCGCAGTGGCGGCTCGTGGGGATGCTTGACTTTAAATATACTGCTGTTTGTGTTTAGACTTTGTTGTTGTTTGGGTTCGTAATTCTTTAGCTGGAAGGTAAACTGACAGCTCGCTTTGGGTTGCCGCTGAAATTTGTTTGCGAATTTGAAAATTTTATGTGAAGTTAGTTGTGTAAAATTCGCTGAATACATACATACTTGTAAAAGTATACGAGCCCTAAGACAGAGACAGAGACGGATTTTAATCATTGCCGAAAAATTTATAAAAAATATTAATTACATGGGGATTTGAATCGATTTTGTTTATTGTCATTATAAGTTTTATTGTTTAATCCTTTTTCTACTATAACCATTCATTTTCTTAAAAATTTGTGAATACAGTAATGTTGCGCCCGCCTATATTTAATAATGATAAAATGTTTTGCTGTATGTGCTTAATATCCTAATTATTTTCATGTATACATATAATCAGTCGTGGTTAAGCATGTACTGATATTTTTTTTTCAGTTGGTTATCTGTTTTTGAAATTTTTTAGCAAATTACAACAAGTTAAATTTACTAATTGGATTTTGTTCTAAACGTATATTGATGTATGGCTTTATTACAGGTAATTTTCATGGAAGTTGGAAAATAATTTATTAGAATAATTAATCTTGTTTATCGACCTGTATCATATATAGGTATGAACATCAACTTTGAACTACGCTTCATTCAGTTTTAATCAGCTTTTTTTATTCTAAATTTATTGTTCGTACCGTTTCAGACGATTTAAAAAGTACTACAGTTCTCATATAGTGTGGTTTCCCAATTGATTACCCTCAACCGGTGATATGCACAAGTTATGATATGACAAGCCATTAATTTTTTGATGTTTGTATTTATAGCAGTAAAGCTTCGTTAAGTTCTAGTTCTGGTGTCTGGAATTATAATTGCTACATTGTCCAATTTTCCCCTAGGGCATTACCGAACACAATTTGGATTATTGGATTTTTGTACCAAATTAAAAAAAAGGTAAAATTTTCTCAAAACAATTAGTACAGCATAATATTTTACCACTAACTCAGGACGTAACCGTCCATACCTTGACCGTTTCTTTTTTTTTTTCTTGCGCTGTGACTAATATTTTCTAATTTGATGACGTCATCACATATTTTTTATTGATCAAATCACCCCATTTTCTTGAAAATGTAAGGCGACGCACGACTTTATTTAATAATGATAAAATAAGAATTATAAGAATAGTATTCACATTTGGTTCGATTCTGCCATAATTAATATTTTTAACTCATTCATATTAGACAAATTTCTACGTAACATTCTTTCGATACATAAACATAAACATTCGAAGTTAAGCACGTTATTATTGAGGGGACATTGTTCCGCTGGAATTTACGCTCTTACGGCTCAGGGTGTTTTTTTATCCCGCTGGTTTTTATTTTATAGAAGTTATCACAAAACAAAAATCGCAAAGTCAAATTTTATAATTTAGGCACGAAGAAAGTTCTGTCGAAAAAAACTTCCATTAATTTTTTTCAGAATATTTATGAAATATCGACATGATGATCATCAAATTTTTATAGTTCTTTTACTTCCTGAATGTAAGAAATGGAAGTATGTATTGTAATAGGGTTCCTCTAACGAGTGGTTACGTTCATGTTTTGTTCACGTTTCATGACCCCATGAGTACGAATATGTAGGTTTCGGGTTTCCATATATCTGTCGTCTATGTAAATTTCAGTTAGAAGATAACCTCGGAAACTACTGGATTGATTGTTGTCAAATTTTACTTGTATGTAAGGAATGTCATGGGATATGGCTTTCCAGTTATGAGAAGCCATGAGTTGTGTTCATTGTGACAATTAACCCCTTTTTTTGGAAATAAAGTCTCTGAAGTATAAACAAACAAATGAGGTTTTTAGATGAAAAATACAGATAATGTCGGCCACATTGTAAGAAAAAAAAGTAGCCCATGACGGGATCGAACACGACGCTAATTCGCCTTATATTAATATAAAATGTTATACAATTTGATTTTCTTTAGGTGAAAAATCAAGGCGGATAACACAAGTACAGGACCATCTAATTTTATAAAATTTAAATACCACTTACCATGGAACTTAGGGTTGCCAGATTTTTTCAGAAGGTATATATGAGTTCCATGGAAAAATATATATGAGATCAGTTAAAAATATATGAGACGTTTTAGGCCGAGTTTACAGAAGCTCGAATTAATATTTAATTTAATCGCGTCTCTAATTTGACGTTTCTGCACCACTTTTTTGTCATGATTCAGCCGACAACTTTGCATACATGTTAGACAGTAGACTCTGAATTATTGGAATTCGAATTTAAGTTTCTGCGTCTAAAGTGCAGAGTACAGAATTCGAAATGGCGGTTAAAATGAAAATATATGAGATTATCTCATATATTTAATACTTGGTATGAGGTATGAGATTTTCTTTAAATATCTAATACTCATACCAAATATATGAGATCTGGCAACCCTAATGGAACTACTGAATTGGCAATCCACGTTACTACAAACTGACATTACGTAAATTTTAAATTTTTGTTTCAAAAATGAAAAACTGAATTTTTTCAGTACAATATTTTTGAAAGTGTTATTTTTGGAATAACAACCCAACTAACCTCAAAAAGAGAGAACCAACCAATGTCCCTGTGAAATGTGATTGAAACTTGTGAGTAGTTATCTATAGCAAGTAGGAGGATAAATGACTGACAAGCTAATAATACGGTTGTCAATGATGAATAGGTTATTATTTGACACGACGTAACATGGTAGCACAGAGGCATAAAGAGGATTCAACAACGTGTTTAATTTTCATGAAAATGGTCACCATAATACATGAAAAGATCTTGCCTGTGTTTCACAAAAAACTAAAATCAGTTACTGAAATTTGTAGACCAATTGTGATTCAGGCTTGTAAGAAACAAAAAAGACAATTTTCTTACTTCATTAACAACCAAGTGTTGGAAGGAAAACCAAAAGGTTTTTTTTACGTAGATACCTTCAAATTAAATTCAAAACACGTTGTCCAAGACAAATAAAAAATGAAAGTTGCTGCTTTTTTTCGCTTTAGACGAAAAACGGTAACGAATTTATTTTTAGTGAGAAGGAGGATAAACATGTAATACTAATAAAAGCTGTTCGTGAGCTTTCTCGTTCCCAAAGACTCGAAACACAACTAGGTGAAATGCAGACTTGTTTATTAACATTAAATTTGTTAATGCAAACGCTCTAAGTTTGCCGTGACATTGTCTAGTTTATTATTATGCAACTACTGTCTAGCTGTTCACGATCTTGTTTTTTCTTTGTGTGTGAATAATAATATGTTTAAATAAATTTAGTACGTAAATGAGAGCCTTGAGTCCAGTAAAATTTTCGCTTATTTAAACTCCACTAAGTTGAAACAGGAAATTAAATTTTAATTTTTTCCTTTTTTCTAGAGTTTGTGCCAGACGTTTCATCAGGTGGCAGACGTTTCAACAATTGGTAAGTAGAACAAATTCTAATATAAAAAGTGCGCGAAAAATGCAAAAGAAACTCGGGTAATTACGAGAATAGCTTCGTTTATGTGATTATCCGGTAAAAAGTTACTTCTCGTACATCTAAACAAATCTTTAAGACTTTGTTTTTGCACTTCTTTAAACAGTGTTTGTAGGAAGTCAGTAAATTGATAAATACAGTTCTCATATAGTTTGTGTTTTGTTGTTTCTTTTTTCTCAGTTGATAAATGCTTTGAAGTCCATCAAATAAGCGGGCAGAAAAAATCTTGAGCTATGTGATTTAGCAGCGGTAAAAGCAGTCAGTTGTATTAGTTCTTTTCAAAGAACTACAAATTAATTTGGTTGGAATGTAAAGATTCAAAAACACTTATTGTGTGTGTGTTTTCTCTTGATTATCTATATTTGTCTGGAAAATTCCTGTTTAGTTTTATTGCCGATCCTACAAAATGAATGTATCGCGTCGAGTACATCTCTTGAATTGAAGCAGGTACATTTGAGCGGGCGGATGAAGGAGTTAAAGTCCTGATGCGGTTGCTTTTTTGAGAGACGTCCAGTTGTCGATTTTTAACGAATTGTTGAGCTCACGGTACGAATATTGAGAAGACTTTTTCAGTTTGCTGTTCTGTAATTCTCTACATCATCTTCGGATCAATATTTTTTTTTGCAATTTCTGATTCGCTGTGAAGTCGGTTGTTGTTTCTTTTGTTTGTTTCTCCGAGACGTAATGTATAATTTGCAAATATGTGTGTAGGGTGGATGCTTGACGCAGTCAAATATCTTGAGATGTAAAAGCGTAGTGCGAGTGATTACAGTCTAAAATAAGTTAATACGAAGTTGGTAGTTTGGATTTTACGGAAGTAAAAACTTTTTATACGACATCTCAAGTTCAAATAAAATTTCCTCTTGACCGTTCTGGGTTTTGGTAGGATTACACTCCGAAAGTCCGTGTTTTGAATCCCTTCTCGTACGCGTAGGAAATATTGTAATAGAATCCGTTTGAAAATGACTAAGTCCGTTTTTCCCGTCCATCTGTCTGTTGGCGATTTTATAGACAAATAAGAAGATAATAAACAAGTGTCACTACTAGACTAGATATAGATTATAAAGCGCTAATTAACATTTCGTTGTTCATCCCCACCAAAAATTTGACGACGTAGTATCACTGTAATGAATCGTATTTAATAAGTATGTATAAAACAACTGATTTCTCTGAAATTTCGCACCTATTTTAATCTGACCTTCCTTTCCAAAAATTTGATGATGTCGTCTTAAAATTGTGTAAAGCAAATTTCACTTGAAATATGTAGAACTCAGCAGTATTATTAAGTTCACTGTCTTACTATCTGTAACTTTAATTGTTTATGTTTATTTCTACTTCGAAAGATTCGATTATTTGCTCGTTCCGATAACAAACATCATTCTGCGTTAAAAGAAAATGAAATTTGATTGATTTTGTCTTCTCAAAGGAGAGAATAGGATTAATCTAGGTAATTAAGCTACAGTGGAGCAAAATGGGTCGAATGTAATTTTGGATTATGTAATTGCTATTATGATAATTATTATTTTATTTTTTATTAAATATAGGAGGGTGCGACATTACCGTGTTGTTACATTTTCGAGACAATGGAGCGAACTGTTCTTGATTTGAGCAAAAAAAATTATTTTAATTGAGATTAAGTTAATCACGTATTTTATAACCTACACCTCAGTGGCGCAGAGTCGGTCATGTGCTACTTTAATGCCACATCAAATATTTTAGCCTTTTTAAATTCGGTATTTCTTTAATATTTAGGCCGCAGGTCTTTTTTTAATTATTTTTTCTTAGCTCAAAAACAGTCCTTATCAGCGCCATTTTTTAATCATCCTGTATAATTTACACGTAATTATTGTAATACAGCAGCGCTGTTATCACAGTTTTAGTTTTAAGTTCAACATTTATATGGGTTATCATAAAAAATAAAATTGGCAGGGACAAAAATTTATCATTTACGAGTATGTTAGAAACTTTTTTTTTTCAGTTTTTACTTTTCGAGCGAAAGCGAAGGAAGTACTGTGATAAGGATGCATCGGACGAATGGTTACTTTCATGCTTTATCAACGTTTCATGACGCCTAGAGTGTGAAAAAATAGGTCTTCCGTTTCTACCATCTCTCAACTATCTGTGTGTGCCTTGTCTGCCGTTTGTCGTTCGTCTGTTTGTCTGTCGATTCTCGACTGTCTGCGTCTATTTTTGTTAGTCAAATAATCTCCAAAACTACTGAACCGATTATTGTTAGATATTATACGTACATTAGGAATACGTGTAGATGGTAAAATGCTAACCAAAATTTTTCTAAGCATCTCGACCAGTAATTTGAAAACGTTACATTATTAAAATTTCATAAAATAATATACTCCTACACTTGTGATTTATGAATCGGCTTTGAATTTTTCCCATAGGGATCAAAATTTTCACAAAAATCCAAACCGTAAACAACCTTTTAACAGTGAGCACCTTGATTCAGTGCTATGCCGGTTAAAGTTGCTGAACTCGGACTTGCAAAGCCAAAACAGTCGCGAGTTCGATTTCCTCATGGGCGTTTTTTTTCTTACACTATTACTTTGTGTAGAGGTTGTGGCAAACAAAATGTCGCAAAATCAAATTTTAAAATTTTTCAAAAAAGCGAGATTTGCTGGACTGTAGGGGGGAGGGAGGTTCTGTCGAAGTAATTTTTGACAATTTGTTATAAAACTGACGGTCGCTGAATGTCAAAAACTTTTGTCACGTTTTGACTTCAAAATAAAGTGACAACATAGCTGCATGGTTTCTTGAATTTTCCGGTGTTGTGGGGATAATAACGCATTTGCCTCTATTAACATAACTTAGAATGAGGTAGACAAATGTTGTAATTTAATCATTAATTCATTAAGAAGACGAAAACTGAGTTGGTTGCTTCCCAAGCGTAAGCAAAGGAAGTATTGTAATCGAGTCCGTCGGCCGACTCTCTACCTTTACGTTTTCTCGACTGTTCATTACCCCTACAGGTCTCCCGTTTACGCCTGTCTGTCTGTCTGTCTGTCCGTCTGTCTGTCCGTCTATCTGCCATCACGGATTTTTATTAGACAGATAATCTCCGACCGTACTAGGCCGATTGTTGTCAAAGTTTGTATTTATATTAGGAATATCATATAGATGGTAAAACGCTAACCAAAATGTCTCTAATCATCCCCACCACTAATGCGATGACGTCACTTCAAAATTGTACATAGTAAATGGATTTTAAAATGTATGAAATAACATAGTCCTACACATGTAGTTTACGACTCCGAATTGAGTTTTTACCCAAAACGTCTAGATTTTTGGAAAAAAAAAATCAAAATTATAAAACATTTTGCAATTTAATTTTGAATCTGCTAACTTGAATGCTTTGAAATGTTGCAGATGTTTTAAGGCTATAAAGAGCATTATAAATCTTTAGTCAAAATATATTTGGTTATCCCCTCCAAAAACTTGATGACGTCAGCTCATAAGTTTACCGAATAAATCCTATCTAAAATGTACAAAATATGACGAGTCTGTACTTGAGATCTATCACTCCATTCATATTTTTTGGATTTGCATGTACAGGATGACTCAAAAAAATTAATGAATGCATAAATTTATTTTACTGATTTACTCAGGAACTACAAAACCGAATGCTTTGAAATCGCGAAGATATTTTAAAATTACCATACGCATGGTAAATTTTTGGTCAAAATGTATTTGGGCGTCCCTCCTAAAAAAATTATGACGTCACCACAAAATTTTGCTGAATAAATCCTATCTAAAATGTACAAAATATGGTGAGTCTCTTCTTGTGATTTAACATTCCATTCAAATTTTTTCGATTTGCAATACAGGGTGACTCAAAAAAATTAATGAATGCGTGAATTTATTTAATTGAGTTAATCAGGAACTACAAAACCGAATGCTTTGAAATGTTGCACATGTTTTAAGGTTGTAAAGAGCATAATAAATATTTAGTCAAAATATATTTGGTTATCTCCTCCAAAAAACTGATGACGTCAGCTCGAAAGTTTGCCGAATAAATCCTATCTAGAATGAGCAAAATATGATGAGTCTGTACTTGTAATTTATCATTTCATTCATATTTTTTGAATTTGCATATACAGGGTGACTAAAAAAATTAATGAATACGTAAATTTATTTTATTGATTTACTCAGGAACTACAAAACCGAATGCTTTGAAATCTACTGTGGAAAAAAAACATAATAGGCATGCAGTCGTCACGTTTCCGACAGCGAGGGAAGTACTGTCTAAACTCTTTAGACCAATTTTTTAGAATGTATTTTTGGCATTTTCGAATGTAGAACTATGTTTTGGAGATATCGGGAACTCATTTTTCAAAGGTCCAGAATGTTGTTCCCACAGTATTAGAAAAACAGAATAAAGTAACTACTATAATAGATACAGTCGGACTTGCACATCTAATAATAATTAACTATTGTAAAGAAAACGTGACCAGAATAATATTTGAAATTACGACACGAATGTTTGGATTTTGCGTGTGATTATTTGTGTTTGTACTATGATTATGGTTGTTATAGGTAAAAGAAATTATGTTGTTGATTTGATCGTTAAGAAAGGTAATGACAAGGATAAAGAATGTAAGACAATTTAATATATTATTATAAAACACAAGGAAGAAGTCGAGAGCTTAACTTCCACCTACCATGGAAATTTTGCAGTCATTTTTTAATGTGAAATCTTCCTCTTCCTTGGCTCTCCTAGATTTTATACGTAGTGGATATGCTTCCTGTTCAATTGCTTTTTTGGTATAATGACTAGATTTTTCCTTTTTCTCAACTACAGATTTAGGTCCACAAAATTGAACAAAAACGGATAAAAAAGGCGGTTTTGTCTAAACGCGAAAAACTTAAGAACTTATTGCCAGAATTTATCAGGCGGATGCACTTGCAAGATAAGGACCGTATAGTAGAGCCCG